CCAGCAGGATGTAGGGTCAGAAGAAATGGTTGCATGGGGCAGGGGGATGCAAAAGACTTGAAGGCTATCACAAGTTCCCATGAATGCTGCAGTGTGTGACCCACCAGCTGGGTTCTCTTGCCTTGGATGGGAGAATAGAAAACTTCTCAGGTAATTAAAGGGAAAGTCAAATTAGTTATGAATGAGAACTGGGAATGAGTGACCTGCACGATCAATCTCCATGAGGAGAGATGATTGCATGACTAACCACAGGGAAGGTCAGCATGCATCTCAGCAGAGGGCAGCAGAGGACGAGATGCCTCACTCTTCAGCCTTCACCACTCAAGAGGAAAGGTTAAGCTTCCTCTGACAAGAGGGGTTTTATAAAAGAAAGGCCATTCAACTATGAGTCATAAAGGAAGTTGTTAATTGCACTGAGTCTATAGAGATTCATAATCAATTAATTAGTTTACATTTTGCATTGATCTTCCAGCATAGCCTGGAATGTTCTATATGTAGGCTGTGCTCTATTTGACACCACGTGGTCATTTACTTGCTTCTGGGTTTGTACAACTATCTGAGCCTTCGTAACCACTAGTCACCACCTGGTGACTGAGGACTTGAAATGTGTCATGCTTGAATTGAGATGTGCTGTTTAAGTGAAAAACAATCACCATGTTTAGAAGACTTAGCATAATTACAAGAATGTAAAGTATCATGCTGGTATTTTTAAAATACTCATTGCACTTTGAAAATGTTTTGAATCTAGTTGGGCATTTTCATATAAATGAAAATACATGATTAAACATAATTTCATCCATGTTTCTTTATTTTTTAGCAAATAAAGATATGGGATATGTTTAAGTGCATATGTGACCCACTTAATATTTCATGGACAACACTGCCCTTTGCTCATTTGTGTTGACCTCATTTGCTTTCACCTGAGTACACACCATCACTGCTTAATTTTTATCATATGGAAAAAATAAAACTAAAAATTAATTTTCCCATGTGGATGCTTAATGATTATATGATGGTATCTAACATTTCCTGACAGGTTATCCTGGAAATTACACAGAAAATGTTTTATATGTCATTTCCTGATGATTGAGAATGCCCGTGTGCAATTTATACAAAAAGGAAAAGATTTCCTTTAAAGTAATTAAGGCCAAGCAATTAATACCTCTAAATATTTTCTTTAGAATGCTTGGTGACTAAATAACTATAATCAAGAAACTTTACAAGTGAAATAAGAATCAATGCAATGAGAAGAAATATTCTGAGCTTTCAAATTTTATTAGAATTATATAATTAATAATTTTATATAATATGTAGTGATATATTAAAAATAGCATATTTTGACAAGGTTTTATTTACAAAATAGGGGAACTACAGGAACAGGACATTAATCAAAATTAGTACAACCTGGCATTTTGTACTGTTAGCCCTGGAGTTAGCATTCAGAAAGGAACTGTGGCATTGATTTAGGAATATAGCTGGTCCGGGGAACTTACAAATGAAAGCAAGAGAATGAAAACTCTGACTTTACTCTTCTCCCATTCTCCAATTTCTTATTAGAGTTCCTCATTGGCCAAACCCAAATGGAATTTGGAGGTGTAGAGGCCTTATTGATGCCAGTCCATACTATCAGCTTCCCAGAGCAGAAAGTAGGGTGGAGAATGGACAGAGCAGATTTGTAGGGCTAACGGGGAGGTAAATAGTACATTTCATATTTTTAGAATTATTCACTGTATTGCTAGACACATAGGCCAGCCTTTTCCTCCCCTTGCCTCTCTCTCTCCCCAAATAGAGAATTAAACCTTGAAATCAGAAGAGGATTAGGCAACAAAGTCCAGCTCTGCTTCCTGTTTCTCATACGCTTCATGTTCCCTCTGGAGCACCTCATCTACTCCTGTGACCTCAGATACTATCTATGTCCCGACGACTCTAAAATCCACAGCGCAAGCCCAGGTCTCTCCCCTCTGCTCCAGATGGGCATCTCCAAGAGCCTTCTGCTTAGCTTCCCCTGGAAGTCTGGCAGGTTCCTCAAAGTACTGCCAATGAAGGCATCTGCCATTTACTTCATGATATCCTGACAAAGTCTCAGTGCTAATGAACTTGTTTCTTTATTTTCCAAAATGAAGAATTAAAAAGTTCAGGGGAGTCTGATTTAATTATTTTAGAAGGGTTCACACATGTAATTGTGGTTATTTACAAAGAGGTGAAAAATCCTTTTCATTATTCATAGTCCCATGCTAATGCTGAGACTGAGCTTCAAATTTCTTCAACTCACAGTGTATTTTATGTAAATTTTTTGTCTTGTAAAAAAGTATCCATTGCAAATTTATACATTAGGAAGCACAACTTTAAAACCAACAGGATAAGGGGATATGTTATCTCTGTTTATAGCAGAACAGGTTTCAAAATATTTCCTTTTCTCAATGCATTCACAATTCTTTATAAACTTTAATTTTCTTTCACCTCAATAATGGTACTAGCTAACACTTAGTGCTTTCTATGGGCTAGGCATTTCATTTTATTCTCCTGTAAGTCTTATAAGAATCCTATTTTGATGAAGAAATTAAGGTAGAGAAGGATTAAGTGACCTTGCAGCTGAAGTGATGGTGCTCAGTTTCCAACCTAGTTTACCTCCAGAACAAGAACACTTCACTTTTCTAAAATACTGAATACAGATTCTTTTACACTCCAGGGAGAGCAGTTAAGAGACCACAAACTGGGTGCTGCTAAGTCTAACAGTGAAGATGATAGGAGTGAGGAAGTGGGCAAGAAGATTCAATATGTCTTGAAAAACCTGTACAAGAAATTTTAAAGTGAAAGTTGCTGAAATCATAAGATGCTTTTCCTTTTTGTTTTAAGCATTAGCTAAGCATGCATTGTGCTAGATATTGGGGATAGAAAAATCAATGGAGGCAATTACAGTTCAGTGTGAAAAAGAAGTAAATACATTTAAAAAAAAATATTTACCTTTGCATAGAAGAACTGGGGTGTAGGCCAGAGGTTTGGGGGAGGGGGTGAGAGGATTCACCAGAGACAGAGTGGGGAACAGAACAGGCAGACTGACTGAAATACACTGCTGAGGGGAGCAGCAGGGGAGTAAGGAGACATCTGCTGTGCCCTGTGGGTCAGCTCCCTTGCCAGGGATGGAGCTGAGTTTGCAGCAGTAAATGCACTGAGACTTAACCTCTAGGTCAACAGGAAGGTCCAGAAGTAAATACATTTTTTTTTTTTTAAAGATTTATTTATTTATTTATTTATTTATTTATTTATTTATTTATTTATTTATTTATTTATTTATTTATATAAGCACTGGGTACAGTCAGAAGCAAGGGAGGGTGAGAGAATTCACCAGAGTCAGAGCAGGGAGCAGAGCAGGCAGATGGATGAAATACACTGCTGAGGGGAGCAGCGGGCGGCAGGAGAGGTCTGCGCGCCATGTGGGACCCTCCTCTGCTGGCTGGGGAGCAGCCGGGGATCGAACTGGTGCTGCAGAGGCTGCAGGCAGTTTCGCAACCCAGTGCTCAACCGCTGCGCCACCGGGGAGGCCCCAGAAGTAAATACATTTTAATGAATTTTAAAAGTTAACAAAGACTTGCATGCAAGGTTGACAGGACATTAGAGACGTTACATAAAATCCAGTCATTCTATGTATTCAAAGAGCATTTCCTGGGTTCTCACAATGTACTAAAAGCTGGAGCAACAAAAAGAAAAATGATACAGTCCTGTCCTGAAGAAACATACCACCAGCGAAGATACTTGGGGGGCAGCGGTCAGGTCAAAAGAATGGAGTAACAAAGGCAGGGAGGGATTTCACAGCCTGAAGGGTTTAGAAAATGCCAAATCTGCAGTTAGCCGGTCTCTGAACAACAAAAATTCAAGGCCGTATGTTGACTGTAGAAGAGGATGCTAGAAAGGGATCCAGCGGACAGGTCTGAAAGGTTCACTATGACACCCACGCTGCTTTTGGCGGAGTAGCAGGGGGACGTTTATTTCCCAGTTTTATTAAAATAATTTGGAGAGCAAAAGCACATGCTTTTTATTACTAAAATATGGTCATATTATTATGCAGTTGGGTCCAACAGCACATGAATTAGCAAGCTATGACAGGCAACACAATTCTGCAGCTGGGCGGGCAGATGGCCTTGGCTCCCGTCCCGGCCAGCCTGGGCAGGAGTTCACGGTCCTCAGCTCTCAGAGGGTCCAGGGCAAGATATCTGGAGAAGGCGGGTAATTTTATTGCGGGGAAGACGTGTACAAGTGCAAGCACATCATCTGGGGAGAGGCTGCGACCCAGGGAACCGGGGCCGTGAGCTCCCCTAGGCGCCCAGGATCTCTCATCGCGAAAGACCCCCGCCCACAGGTGCCCTTTGGGTGCCAGCGACACCACCTCCAGCTCTGGAGCGGTCCTCACGCTCGCGCCTCGTTGCCTGGCAACCCTCGGTCGCCGGGCGCCTGTGCGGCCTCCCGCTATTGGCTCAGAGCACGCAGCGTGCGTCTGACGTCATTGCGCGGCGCCGCCAGATCCAGGAACCGCGCGAGAGCCGCTGTTCCCGGAACTCCGCCCCGGGCGGCGAGAGCGGCTGCCGTGAGCGGAGCGGGCGCTGGGCGAAGCCCTCCTTGGGGTGGCGGCTGGGTGCGGATCGCGGCGGGGAAGAGGCGTGGTAGGAACGGGTCTCGGGGGCCGTGGGCGCGGTCGCAGGGTCCCGCGGTGCCGTGCGTGCTCTCCTCGCCGGCTGGTCGCTAAGGCCGCCGGACCCCGTTGCTAGGGACGTTGGAGATGCTGAGGGCGCGGGGTGCGCCTTGCGTTCCAGGGTCGGGCCTTGGCCGAGAGGAGTTTTCATCCGCCGGGATGGAAGCCGGCCACAGAATCCCCCCCCCACCCCCCACTCCTTAAAAAACCTTTGTCTCGCTTAATTTTGCTCCATATTCCCTCATTTTCGGTAACGCCCCGACCTCACCTGGTCTTAGGTGTGTGGAAATGGATGGGGTTGGAGAGAGAGGGGTCAGGGAAATGGGGAGATTTTGTTATAGGGCAGCCCCGATACAAAACGGGGTGCCTGGCTGTGGGTCCTCACCCGCGCGCTTAAAAGGTCTTATCAATGCTCTACTGCAGGCACACGCGAAAGGTTCATAAAAGGTTTATTTACAAGGGAAGGGGAAATGAGGAAATGTACAGCTTAGGGAGAAAAGTGGGAGACAAAGTTTTAAATAAGTCCTACCCGATCCGCCGATCTGGAATCCCAAATGGCACCCTGAGAGCTGGCTGCAAGCCAGGAGCTGTGAAACCAGGAGGCCAGCGACAGAGTGAGCCCCCCACCAAGGTCCACGTGTTTTTTTTTTATACCCAACCTGGCTGCTTAACTCCACCCTCAGGTCCCTGCCACCTTCCCTTTGGTGGTGACGGGATTTGTCTTTCCCAATGTCCTGATGGCTTTAGTCTGGAGTGGGAGTGGAGTCCACAAAGCCTGTATGGGATTAACTTAGGACATCATTTCCCCCTAACAATTCCCCCCTTTCACTTTTTGCCACCATTTCCATGGTGATGAAGATCAAATATATGGATGCTAGGATATAGTCTCAGATGAAACCCCCTAACAGTTTCAAGTCCCTAATACTGGCCCTTTAGATTTACTTAATAGGAAAAAAAAGGGGTGACTGGGATAGGTGGATATGGGACTGTGGTTCTGGCCTTTGACATATGGAGGCGCTTCAGCGCTAGAGCACAGCTTTCTTTCTTTTTTTAAAGATTTATTTATTTATACAAGAACCGGGGTACAGGCCAGATGAGAGCACGGCTTTCTTAATGGGGCGCCGGCCATGCTTCTGTAACTTCCCAAGCAAGGAGATAGGGAGCAGGACATGAACATGGCCTCCGCCGCTGACCGGTTAGCCCCCCATTTATTTGCAGTCGTCTCAAACCAGGTTGCAGGAAGGAAATGCATCTAGGCAGAGAAATAGGATGTAGGAGATGTCCAAGAGAAGAAAGGGGCATATGTTTGCCTTGCCAGCGTCGACACGTGCCTACAGTGCCTTGTAGATGACCTGCAGCGCCGAAGGACGCCTAAGAGAAAAGTGAGGTTCCACTGTGGAGTCGGCTTTGTTTGTTTTCCGACGTTGTGAGCATGTAGGTGTTCAGATTAAGTGGATCAGAAAACTGGAGCTACCTCTGTTTCACAAGGTGTTTATAGCTTATGTGCAGTTCAAGGGGCGGATGAAAAGTTGAGTGGGGAAGTTGGCTGCATCACTGGAAAAGGAGGAGCTGATAGGCAGATGTTCGCATTTGGAACTTGGAAAGTAAACAGGCCAGACAAGGTGGAGCTTGTGGGAATATGGCAGCCATGTCTTTCAGAAAGCTGTATTCTCTGAACAGCCAGAGAAATGCAATCCAGTTTCTAAAAGTCTCTTTTGACAGTTTGAATGGGGAAAAAAGAAATGTTTTTGTAGCCCTTATTTTCTTAGCCAGTCGTTCTAATTTGCGGTTGCTGATGTTAGTGAAGTTGACATTTCATATATTCTCATTGGTCTGTTCAAGTATTTTGCCCACACCTTATCAGTTTTGTGTGTCTTTCACTGTGTTTTCTATTCTGCTCCATTTTGAAGTTTACATTATTAATGAATCTCCCAACCTCCTAAATGTTGAAATTATGTTTTATTCAGCTGCAGGAGTAGGAGGGAAGCAATGCAGAAATCAGAGTGCCAGGGGGGCGAGCAGCTGAGAAGCAGAGTGGCAGGTATAGAACTTTGCTTTCTAAACAAAGAAGGGGATTTAGTTGACACACTATTGTGTGTATGGGGGGGGGAGGTGAGCTTTGTAGCTTTCACCTCTTTTTTGTTGATATTCTGTTCTCTCCAGGTAACTGTGACCTCAGGACACCATCAAGCACACAAGTAAAACACAGGACTACAGTTCAGCGAAGCAAATCCTCATCATCAACCAGTTCTCCAGACTCTGCAAGAAAACTTCATCCTCGACCAAGTGATAAACTTAACCCTAAAACAATTAACCCGGTAGGTACAAAAGAGATTTCTAACTCAGGGGTTTTTTTAGAGCAATAGGCATTACGCACACCTGCGCCATTCTGATTGCTGTCCCACGCGTGTCTTGTGTGTTAGTTTTAAACTAGTGACAAAGAAAGGGCCTTTGGGGATCATGATGACAAACAGAGATATTGATGTGAGCGTGGGTGTGAGAAGATGTTGAGATTAGCCATTTTAGCTACCGCCTGTCACTCTGATGGATGAGTACTGTTGACTATAAAATAAATTACATATCAGCTTTCTTTTTGATTTACTATGGTTATTGGACTTTCTGGTGTCAGAATAAACTCGATTCAATTGCCATAGGATGAATGACATGCTTTCATGATTGTATAAAGGTCTCCAGTCATTTCTTTCTGATTTATCAGTTAGCTCCACCAGAAATCCTAACTATAGTACAAGCCTCCTTTTCCCCTCTCACAGCAATTAATCAGATTTAACAGACTTTGAGATGTAAGTGCATAAAGATGCATAATTATAAGTATGTAAATCAGTGAACTGTCCGAAAGAGAATACAGCTGGGCCGCAGCACTGGGTGGGGTCTGGCCCTGCCCTGCGGGGTAAGATGATGTGGTTTCAGCCTTTGAAGGGGATGATGAGAGTGACGTAGCTTTGGCAGGTGAAATTCGCTGCCACTTAGGTAGGTATAGGGTAAGTGAATTGGTCAGGCTTTTGCGCCATTAGCCTCTGTGGCTATCACCTGCTGCCTTGAATGTTCAAGGCACTTAGGAGCGTGGGTGCGGGGTGCGCGTGCCTGATGGTGGACTCGTGGAGCTTGGTGTGGGCGTGCGTAAGGGCGCGCACCTAGAGGCTAAGGCTGTAATGGCACCGTCACAAAAATAGCTGCGGCGGAGAGCAGCTACGAGAGGATGAGCGACTTCTGAGGAGACCAAGAGAGAACGCCAGAGAAAGCCCAAAGGAAAAAGCTATAGATTCGCAGGGGGCCTAAGTTGCTGTCTCCCTGCTGCTTGTCTACCCTGCGTACTACTAAAAAAACCTGTGTGGATGATACCAAGGGCTCCAAGGTTCTCTTTTAAGCTGCCTGAACCCACATTGAACCTACCCGGTATGGGGTGGTTGCAGAACACTTGGCGTGAGTCGGCAGGATTTGATGCAGGCGGGTATGAGAACTCTGAGGATCTCAGGAGGCTCTGAGGAGTGACGGCCCCCAGTATGTAGTGCCGGTGGGCCACCTCCTTTCTGGGTGCCTCCCCAGTCCCCGGTGCAGGTGGAGCAGACTCTACATATAGTTGGGGGAGGGGCATCGTATGGACATGGTCTTTGCTCAGAAGCAGGCCTGGGGAATGAGTGTCCCCTCACAGCTCTGCAAACGGCGTTGAGGACGGCGCTGGAGGCGCCATGGCAGCACAGGTGGTGGCCAAAGTCCAGGAGCTGCGGGAGGATCTAAAGACGCTGCAGGAGCACTGGAGGTGAACTAGGTCTGGGAGCTGTGGGATGAGGCCTTGTGTGAAGGAAGAAACGGCCCACAAGGACCAGCCCATGACCCCTGAGGCAGCAGACTTGTTGGGGAAGAAATTGGACCACGATCCGTCAGTCACCCAGAGCGGCCCAGTGATAACGCAAAGGTAAAAGTTCCTCCAGAAGGTGGGAGAACTTTTGGTAGTTGGGTGTTATGCCTGTGGTTCCTGGGGGTGGGTGGGCGCATTTGCACACTCAGGAGGTGAGAATCAAGGAGAGGCCGCTGGGCCTCGGGGCGAAGCTGCTTGTGCTCTGCCCGGCTCGCCCAGGGCCACGGCAGGCAGCTGTGTTCTCTACCGGGGAGCTGTGGCGGGCACAGCCTGGAGTGGCAGTGGCCCCGAGGACAGGTCAGCATGGGGCAGGGCAGGCGGGAGAGCAGCCCGAGGCTGCTGAGGGAGGGGAAGGAGGAGGCCCTTGCTGGGGGCTCTGCAGCCGTGGGGAGATGTTAAGCAGCGGAAAGGACGCTGAAGATGCGGACGACCCTGTCGATGTCACCCTGAGTGATGCCCTGTTCTCTCTCCAGCGAGGCGCAGAGGAGCCCACCCTTGGGGGACAGGAGGGGAACGCGGCTGTGGTGGGGACCCCGGCAGGAGCCGGGGCCGAGAGGCCGCATGTGGAGCTTGTGCGAAGGGCTGGCCTGACCCCGGGTCTCTGCTGTCAGGTGGTGGTTAGGGAGGCGAGTGTTGGAGTGACAGCAGTGAGAGGACCCCTGGGGACTGAGCGGTTACCCCCAAAAGAGTACAGAGTGTGTCGCCGACGTCGGGTGGGTGTAGTCTCTGGCTGGGGGCTCGCGCAGGCCAGGAGGCTGATGCCCCGGCGATGGGGGGGCCCCGCCTCGCGCGCGCGAGCAGCGCCTTCGGCTGCAGCTTGATGGATCCTCCGCTGGCGCCCATCACCTCTTTGCCTTTTTGCCCCTGGGTTGGTGCCCTGACCCCGTAGTGCCTGGGCTTGGGTGTATTCTGTGGTATTCTGTTGCGTTCGGTTTGCTTTTGGGGGCCTCGGCGGCAGTGTTCACACTCACCCCGGGAGACTTGTGGGTGTGCTGCGCTGTGAGGGACCCTGCGGGGCTGGGTTGTGGGGTAAGGGATGGGCAGGCTTTTCCCCCTTAGCTCTGCGGCGGTCACTTGCGGCCGTGCACGCGGGAGGCGCTTGGGAGGCGGGCGTGGGGCCCGGGGCGGGCGTGCGTGCGCACCTGGGCACACCTGGGCCTGGGCCGGGGCTCTCCTGGCGGCGTCACACCAAATGGCTGGGCGGAGAGCGGCTGCGGGAGGACCACAGAGGAAGAGACCGAGGGAGACGGCCAGGGGAGACAGCATGTGGAGATGCGCAGGGGCCCGCGTTGCTGTCTCCCTGCTGCCCGGTGTCCCCTGCGTGCTGTTAACCTGTGGGGGTGAGGCCGGGGGCGCCAAGGTTCTCCTTTAAGCTGCTGGAACCGACGGTGACCCTCCCCGGCCTGGGATGGTTGCACACCGGTAGGGGCAGTGAACAACCTCCCCAAGGTCAGAAGTAGAGTAACCGGCTTCATGAAAGAGAAATGAGAAATCGTTTGCGCATCTAATTGGCCCTTTGTTGTCTGTAATCTGTGTCGAGGACACCGGGTATTGGAGGGCGCTGATGGCTGCTGCTTCCTTTTCCTACGTTGAATTGAGGGAGTTTTGGTGACACTTTGATTGTTCTTTCACTCTTTAAAGAAAAATCTTTTTGAGGTAGTAATCCTTAGTGCCCCTAGTCTTAAATTTTATTTTTAAAAAATAAGGTAGTAATTTAGTTATTTGGGAAATGATTCTATGATTTGACCTAAGAATTGAGTATCTTAGAAAAGACCACGTCTAAACTAGGTGGAAGTTAATCCAAATGCATTGCTGGAAGTCGGGAGAATGGTCACCCTTGGGAACAGGGCGGGTGGGTATGGGGAAGAGGCACTGGAGGCTTCTAGGGCACTGGGAGCAGGCTTCCACCTGAGGTTGTTTCATAGGTATGTTCACTTTTTGACCGTTATTAGACACTTAATGTGCTTCAGCTGCACCCATTTCAGGTATGTCATTAGAAATAACATTTTTTAAGACTTGCTAACTCAGCGTAGTCGTGTATATTTAGTGCATTGATTGTCTGGAGATGAACTGTGGTCTGTGATGGCATTAAAAATAGAAGAGGATATTTTTTCAGCAGTGCAACTTTGCAAATTATTTACATGGGCTATAGCTTCAAAAGTAAGTAGGTGGTATTAGGTACTGGTAGTAAAACAAAGCCCTAGTTTGTTTTAACTTTTGACACAATGTAAGCAGTACTTTTTCATGTGACTTCTTTTGAAAGCAAATTTTCACTTCAAAGCAAATTTTTTTTAAAATTTATTTATTTATAAAGAACTGGGGTACAGGCCAGAGGTGCAGGAGGGTTGAGAGGATTCACCAGAAACAAAGTGGGGACTAGAATAGGCAGATGGACCGAAAACACTACTGAGGGGACCAGTGGGCGAGACAGGAGAGGTCTGCTGTGCCATGTGGGGTTCTCCCTGGATGGCTGGGAATCAAACCCACACTGCAGAGGCTGCAGACAGCTTCACAGCGCTGTGCTCAACCACCTGCACCACCAGCGAGGCCCTTGAAAGCAATTTTTAAACACTTTTATTAGAAAGAATTTTGACTAGATGTTTAAAACATTACTATTGCTGTGAGTTACTATGCAGAATATGGGTCAAGCTTTGTAAGTGAGTGATATTATATTTTAATGATATTTCATCTATGCATTTTTATTTAAAACATGTTTTTTCCAGAGGTAAGAGGGCTAGCTTTACACTTAACACTGTTAAGTAGATTTTTAAATTACTGCATGTGAGTAAAAAAATTATTTTAGCTACTTATATATTTAAAATAGATTAGTAAATTTATATTTTGTAAATTTTGACAGCTGTGTTTCATTTGATTATATTCAAAGTACCATGTAGTAAAATATTTACTTTTTGTACCTAAGTTTCCTTTAACTCTGCTCATGTGTATTAAAATTAGGTTACGCTGTGATTATTTAGTGTTATGATTGACATCTTCTAAATTGTTTCTGAGATTAGATGCAGAATTTATCCTTAAGATAATATGTTCAAAATTGAAAGTTGTAATGTTAAGTATCTAAGCAAACACATCCAGGCATATGGTGCATCTTTCACTCTGACACACCTGCCTTTCAGTTGGGAGAAGCTAAAGAACTACCCATTTTTGGCAGGAGGACAAGTAGGCAATGATAGGCTGCACACAACTTAACGTCTCTTGCCACTTAACCCTCACCTTGAAAGGTGGCAGTCCTTGGTGGGTATGTGTGTGAAAAGATGGATGATGTTTGTTCATAATATTTGTACTTAGTAGCATTTATACTTATCTGTGTTATATGTCTGGGTTCAGCTACTGTCAAATCTTCTGAAACAAGAGGGAGGAAGGTTGGGTAAAAGGAAGTAGGCAAAGTACCATGGTGTTTGCTGTTTGAATCCTGAGAGGACTGAAAACTTCTCAGTCCTGTTGCTCAGCAGAATGACGCGCTTGATGCCAGCTTAGGGGTTTGAAAGTCAGGGTGTCCCTTGCCTCTGACGTGAGCAGGATGAACATGGATGAGCTCTCAGAGTGGGAGGAAATAATAATGTTGATTGTGTTCCTGTCCTTTTTGATTTCAGTTTGGTGAACAGCCACGAGCCCCCTCTGCATTTGCAGCTATTTATTCTAAAGGCGGTATTCCTTGCAGGTAAAATCAATGCAAGATGTAACTTACTGTATTAGTCAAAATAATTGCGTCAAATCGATACCGTATTCAGTGTAAATGTATTGAAAGTGTTATTCTTCTAGGGAGGTTAAAATAAAGGTGACTGGTTTACGCTTTGCTGGTTAGATTATTATAGATCCTGGGACATCGTTCAAGGAAATCATTTTAAGTTCAACACAGAAATAACAGTAGATCTATAGTAAACTCCCGAATAATTTAAGGAGTTGAATGAGCCAATTTCTAAAACAGTGTAAGCATCTTTGAGTTGAGCATGTTGCAAATCCCATTTTGTTTTTAAACTTACTTTAAAACAAATTGTTTAATTTTTGTGAAAATATTTCAAAATTATATTTGAAATTATTTTTTTTTAATGAGTACATAGCATTTTGCTTTTTATAATCTCGTTGCTTTTCTGAATAGACGTCAGAACTATTTCAAAGAAAGCAGTATGAGTTTCTACTAGAATATTCTAGATTTTACTATCAAGAAACAGGGCCTCCCCGGTGGCGCAGCGGTTGAGTGCTGGGTTGCAAAGCTGCCTGCGGCCTCTGCGGCGCCGGTTCGATACCCGGCTGCTCCCCGGCCACCTGAGGAGGGTCCCACATGGCGCGCAGACCTCTCCTGCCGCCCGCTGCTCCCCTCAGCAGTGTACTTCGGTCCTTCTGCCTGCTCTGTTCTCTGCTCTGGCTCTGGTGAATTCTCTCACCCTCCCGCGCTTCTGACTGTACCCAGTGCTTGTATAAACAAAAACAAACAAACAAAGAAAGAAAACATGCCTCTATATTAAAAAAAAAAAAAAAAAAAAAAAAAAAATTATTAAAAAAAAAAAAGAAACAGTGATTTCTCCTAAGTATATTCAATTTTAACCTGTTCTAGATGATTGAATATTTCACTTTCATTGTGGAAAGAATGTTATTTTCACGATAAAATTTATTTTTAAGCGATGTGTCCAGATTTGGGTCTGCGAGAAGTCAGCCTAGGAAGCATCCTTCAGTTTATTGTTATTATTTCATATTTATATTCAGAATTGAGACCCTGTTTTAAGGTTCTTACACCCCTTTTCCCGCTTCAACCAGTTTACTGTTGCTAAAAATGTGAAATCAAGGTCACCAAGGTCTCTTGCTATTCTGAAAATAACAGTAAAGGAGGAGTCAGAATTTGAGAATGTCAGGATGGGTGTGATGAGGGTTCCTGCCACGCTGTGGCTCAGCGGGCGCACTCATCCGTCAGAAACTCGCTGTCCCCTGCTCTGGAAATGTGTGCGGCTCCCTGCAGCCAGTCCTTTGGGTTGCCACTGAATAATCCTGTGTGGGCCCTTCCGCCACCTTGTCTTCGGTCTTTATCAGAGATAAATCTTGCCTTTAAATCATCAGTGTGAGATTTAGCTGACCTCTGGCTGAAAAAGAATGTTCCTTGCTTCTAAAGATCACATTTTGTTTGCATTTTTATTACCTGTAAATTACCTATCTTGTCGTATGTTTTGATACCTTGACATTAAGACTCAGCTTGATTCAACTCCAAAACTGTCAGCTTAACACATGTGGGTTTGTTTAGTTTTGCCCTGAATGATTTTGCTGAAAGTATGGGAATTTATATGATATCTTCATATTTAAAGTCTTGGTGTTCTTTTGTTGTGAAAAATAATTCTAACATGGCTGTGTGTTACATAACATGGCTGTGTGTTACATGATCGTCTTTGCTACATTCACTGACATTTGTATTTTAGATTGGTCCATGGCTCAGTAAAACACAGATTGCAGTGGGAATGTCCTCCTGAGAATCTACCATTTGACCCTCTTCTGATTACTTTAGCTGAGGTAAATAAATTCTCCATCTTTCCTAAATGTCCTTAGAAAATTAATCTTTTGAATTGTATTAAATGTTACTTTGTAGTTAACATAACCAAATGATTGTATTTGTTTTTTTGGCCTTATGGCAGGGTCTGCGAGAGACTAAGCATCCCTACACCTTCGTGTCCAAGGAGGGCTTCCGAGAATTACTTTTGGTCCAAGGTGCTCCGGAAAAAGCGGTGCCTTTGCTTCCTAGACTGATTCCTGTGCTCAAGGCAGCTCTGGTGTGTCCTTGATCCCTTTTGCCTTTCTGTGGTACATTTAGAATATTCTGTGTCTGTCTTTTCTGCCAAATTATATGCAGATTAGTCCTGTATCTGTGATTTTGATGTGTGTGTGTAGAATTAAACCACTGTTACTCAGGACCAGATAATGACTTAATTGAAGTAATCCTTTAGTGGATGCACTCGGAGTAAAAAGGGGCATTTTGAGTAATTAGAATAATGAACCTCAAATTAGTCTTTATGCTGCAGTCTAGTTAATGTTTCAGTTAAACCAAAATTTGTTCCTTGCTTTCAGATTTTCAGCATTAAAGGTTGTTTCTTAAATTCTGAGTTTGGTTGATTTTCTTCTAATTTTGGATAGCCAAGCTTGCTACTTTTTCTCCACCTGCTTGACCTTTCTCCTAACTCGTTCTTCCTTTCTTTTTCCCTGCTTTTTCTCACCTCACCCCCCCCCCCCACCCCCGCAGGTCCATTCGGATGATGAGGTGTTTGAAAGAGGATTGAATGCTTTGGTACAGCTCAGTGTCATTGTTGGACCTTCTCTCAATGACCACCTGAAACACCTGCTGACGAGTGTAAGTGCCCAGGGCGTGAGAGCCGGGTTGTGTCACTCACGCTCTGTAGCTCCTTTGACTTAAAGGCCTCAACTTAATCATTAAAATGATTCAAACCCCTAGTAAAAACGCATCATGCTGACCTACAACTGTAGAGATCAGACCTTGTAGCTCATAGAATGTTTACTCAGCAGTGTTCTTTGTAATTTTTTCTGTTTGTAACAAAAAGAATAGGCAAAGGTTGAGTGGACAGACGTGACTGAGCCGTGGTGGCACTGACGGCCTGGGAGCTGCGGGCATCCCGTGTGCCTCTGGTGTGCCGCCACGGCTGCATTTACCATCTTTTTTCTTTGGTTTTCATTGTAGGTACTTTAGTAAGTCTGTAAATAACACTCAGGATGTGAGGTTTTCATCTTACATGTAATTTAATCCTTACCACAAATACGCCTTGGAGCGCTGCAGCGCAGGAGGGCCCCCAGACCACACTTAGCTTTTAGAGTTTGCTGGAGGATTCTGAGGACGCAGAGCAGCTGCTATTCCTCATTATAGTTCAGGACAAGGGAAGGATTTGGGTTGAAATCACAAAGGGAAGAGGTGTGGAGGGACAGGTGTGCAGTTAGTGGTTGTCCTCTGAGGACTCCTGTGGGCTGGTACTGGTGTGTGGCAGCATGCAGAGTATTGCCTGTCTGGAAGCTCACCTGGGCCTTGGTGTTCAGGGTTCATATTAGGGGCCTGTCACATGGGCAGGGCTGACTGCCAGCATGCTTGAGCTGATAGGCAGTGGTCCAGTGCCCCTACTGTGTCACATTGTTAGCACAGTCTGGTGCGCCCCAAGCCTCCCCACCCCAGGTAGAGTCATTCTTACCTGGTGGGACATTCCAAGGACTTAGAGGTTGCCATCCTAGAGCAAGGGCCATATCTTTCTTCAGGTCAGGCTAAACCTTTTTGGCACACCGTGATACAAAGTTTGAAGTCCTGGCTGGAATGACTCACGACTGTGATTTTTAGGTGTACATCCTTATAGTTCAGGGCTGAGACCTATATTTTGATTGTAATTCCTTTTTTTTTTTCTTGAACCCATCCATCTGACCTTCTAGAACTTGAACTTCTTACTTTATAGGAAGACTGATAGACCTGAGAACCCATAGGAATCTGTAGGTATCTAATCCATAAAAAAGTAGGAGTGGTGGTGAATAAATATTCCTTTTTAAAACAAATATAGTGGTTGCCATCTCTATAAACTTCAATCAAATGTTTCCTAAAATAAGCCTGGAAATCTAAAGTAAATTAAGTGGGATTTATATCCTTACTGTAAAGAAGACTCCAGTGGCATTATCTCTAGTTAGGGTACTTTATGTGAAATGTTTCTATGTTTATGGTGTGTACTGTTACTTTTTCCAATCATTTACTTCTGCCAATCTCGTTTTGAAGCTTTCCAAGAGACTGCGGGACAAGAAATTCAAGGAGCCGATCACCAGCGCCTTACAGAAGCTGGAGCAGCACGGGGGAGGAGTAAGCAGACCGTTATTCCCCAAGTGGTTTTTCTTTTAATAGTTTTGGTGATATCACAAAAAAGGCGTGTTAGCTCATTTCAGCCACATGTTGATATTATTTTCATTCCAGAGCAGAGCTTGTCCTGTGCCAGGGCATTTAGGCCCTGGGACAAAGGCTGTGGGTGCAGGCCTGGACACCCACTGCACACCACGGGGGTGCAGCCTCATGGGGTTTTCCCCGAGAATATTGTATATGGTCTTTTTCTTGACTAGTGGAAAAATCTGTGGACTTTGAGCACTCGTTAGAGAGTGTTTTTGTTGTTCCTTTGTCATCTTTTTCTGACTAAAATACAGTTTGTCCATAATCAAAGACTAGAATGAAATTTTCAGATGGTTGCATTACTACATCTGGGATTGCACATTAGTGCAAGCGCACGCTTGCTCTCGCGTGCTCTCTCATACACACACTCCCACAGGGAGTTCAGTTGATTATTCTAAGTTGCAGGAGTGTGGTGGATAGTGGATCCCAGTGCTATCCCTACAGTGTCAGATAGCTAGGTTAATTGGTTTTTAATCACTTGAAAGAAGTGTTCAGATAATCTAGTCTTAGAAATAACTTCATAAAGCAATGACCTAGTCTTGTTTTGGAGATTATGTTTAATCAGCTCTTAATGATAGACTTGCATGTGGCTATCTTAATGTTGCAGAACACAGATTCATTCTAGATACTTTCCAAGGAATTAATTACAATGAAAATATGTGCGATCATACACAGATTTAAAATGGCAGATGTTTTGGTGTAAGCTTTGTCTGGATTACTTAATTTGACCAATTCCAGTGACTTGAAATTGATTACATTCTTTCTATGATGAATGCGTAGGATGAAATTTATGAGGAGGAAGCTGCTAGATAATGGAGTTCCTTGTTGTGTGTATGTGTGGGTCCTGGGCAGAGGATCAGCATTCAGGTACCTTCTTGAGATGTACAAGCCATTTCCTAGCCAGTCAGTGTCCAGCCTTAGCAGAAAGGAAATTCTCTCGTGGAAGTTGCTTGCTGTTCTGTGAATGAGAATGTGAAATAAAAGCGCCCTTTCCTCCCTGCGATAGGCCAGTAAGCAGGCACTACACGATGTTGGCGCATGTTTTGGGTCTGCAGCTCTCCCACATGTTTCCACACACCCTGGGAACTGGTGCTGGGGGTGGGCCGAGTGGGAGGGGCAGACCTCACCGTTAGCATGTGGGCATGTACAGCAGGGTTCTTCTGCATCTGATTAAGACCTGGAAGCGGCACCCTCAGATTTGGAGGGGCATGCCCAGGGTGCGGCTGACCAGCCAGGGTCCCAGGGACAGCACGCAAGTTCCTTTTATTGCCACGCGGTCTTGTTAGTTTTGAGTCGTGCTAATATCAAAAAGAGATTTTGAAGTTTACCAGAACTGCTAGGATTATCTCCCTTTGATCTTTTTTTTCTCTTGTTCCCTCTTTATTATGTCTTACATAATATTTTAATAGTAATTATTGATGAATCATATTAGAAAATTGCAGTTACATATGAAATTGTCTCTGGCTTAATTATTATTGCTTTTCATGCTTTGTAATCCTTCATGAAATTAATGCTCTTCTTTCCTTCTAAAAACTTAATATTTAGATATATTTCTCTTTCTTTAAAATGAGTTTTTATAAAGTACTCAGTATGGCTGTTTCCCATTTCCTTTGGGCTTGTGTGTTATCACAGAGATGGGATGACTCACCTTCTAATGAAAGAAAATTGCCAGTTACAGGGGGTCACAGTGTCGTTTTCTTATAACTAATCAGTTTACAACCTGCCTTAAATTGAAATGTGTTAAAATTATCTTTCCAAGTGATGCACACATTTGTCTTGGGAAAAGCACATACTTATACCCTGATCTTTATTGAGCCACAGGAGAACTTACTACAGGCCAGGTAGGCTACAGAGTACTATCTAGACATTAAACTCATTTATCATTTTCATTGTAGTCATCAGAGATAGATTTTGTTAGAGGGGAATAGTAACAGTCTGGAAACTGAGGCACAGAGAAATCCTAACTGGGATTTGACAGTGACGCGGCTGGCAGAAGCTGACTGTGGGTCCCTCACTGCCTTTCTGGCAGGTGTTTTTAACAAATGAGAATATATGTTTTATTGCCTCAGAAAGATAGTCTTCTCATTTCATCATTCTCTGCTTTGGAGATAGCCATGCTCTTATAAATGTAACACTCACTAGGGAGGTGGCAGGAGGCTAATCCGGCTGGTCCTGTTCTGTTAACAGGGAAGCCTTATCATCATCAAATCTAAAATTCCAACTTACTGCTCCATCTGCTGCTGAGCACGGGGACCTCGGACGGCGGCCAGCACGGAGCATGGGCGCCGCTGGCGCTGTCAGACTCACCTCACTATTCACATGAAATCACCTCGACCATTCACTATTTGCTGGTTTTCGATAAGTATCTACAGTTGCACTAAATCATAGTTCAAGTTATTCATCAACAAAAAAGAATGGCTAATGATGGAAGACAATTAAAAGCAGTTCTGTAAGTATGGTTTTGTGGGGTTTATTTTTTATATTTGTATGGTTTGTGTGACCAACCACTATTGAATTATAGTAGCTGTTTGTACTTGCTTCCTAGTGCCTTTATTTATAACATCCCTTTGGCACAGCTTGTAGCTGTGCACCGATTGAGACATTTTCCTATTTCTTGAGTTTTATGAGGGCTGTGAAAATGTAAAATGGTAGACAAACTTGAGAATTCACTGTTACTCTTTGTAAATATGTGTTTTATAATATAGAATGCTTGGGAAAATTTCTGGAGTGTTCTCATTTAGGAAATTTATTTTAAATGTATAAATTCTCTGTTGTTTATTACAACTCGTTAATACTACCTAAACTTTAGGTATTAATTATATTTAAGTAAATGCTATTTTTGTATTTTATAGCCTGAAAATAGTACACAAAAATATTCAGAAATTAAAATCTTAAAATGCCTGTGTAGTCAGCAGTTTTGTTGTACTTGCTTATATGTAGTGATTCGATTTTTTAAAAAAGCTTTAAACATAATTTGTAGGCATAGTTCTGAGTGTTGGTGTAGTGGAAGCTAACGCAGTCTGAGAAAGGAATAGAGGAAGAGAAATAGAGAGCAAGACCCTCCACCTCCCAGGTCGGCGGGCGCCTGTGGACCACACCAAGCCTGAAGCAGATCAGCGCTGCCAAAGGGGCAAGTGGAAGGTCAGTCTTTGACACGGAAATAGCAGTAGCATATCCTGGCAAAGTTAAAGGATACTTTCTTTACTCCTCTTTTGCTACTTCTTTGCAATTCTCTTTACAGACACAGCCTCACAGCTGTAATCAAAGAGGCAGAAATGCTCATCCTCTGAGCTCTGGCCCCCTTGTCTGTCACACATTTCATTCAGGTCTGTACTCACTCGCCACATCCTCAGAGCCTAGGATCTAAAATAGCTGCCTGCCCGCTGGCCTGCTCTTGCTGTTTCTCACTGCACTTAGCACCACACAGTGAGGTCGCCAGTCCAGAAAATGCCAGAAGCAAAGCATGGTATTTGTAAGCTAGTGATTGTAAAGTGTTGGAATAAAGAGCTATAACATAGTATACTGAGTTATAAACATTTTATTCGCTTTTTTTTTTTTTTGAAATACAAAATGTGCACGTTGAGTTTACACAAACACGCGATGGCAGATTTCAGTGTACATGTATTGTACTACTCTTAATTTCTACACTGGTGCTAGCAGGGCAGCTTTCATCATCCTATCTCTACACCAGAATAGATACCTGATTTATTGTTGCAAAGACAGTTACAAATTTCCTCCTACTGAAGCCTCTTGGTGATATTTCAGCAAAACAGGGAAGGTGTGTATGTCTTCAGTCATGTGGCGACTTGCAATTTTGACTTAAAATCTTTCAAAAGAAATGGAATTATAGGAATTTTATGATGCGCTAAATCATAATGTAGTCCAGAAGGGCTGTTTAGCACTTGTATTCATTTTCCATGATCTTTTGGCATTGTAGTTTTCAACACGATGGAATTACTGGTGCTTTCAAAGTGAATTCTGCTTGCTGGTCATTCCTAGTAGGCATGGGGTTAGTCAGGTTGCTTTGTTCCTGATGGCACGTGACAAACGTGCTGTGAGGAGGGCAGAGGACAGACTAGGCCTTTAATGCTGCTAAGAGTGACTTGTTTTTCAGCATTACTCTGCTCTGACAGATGTCCTGGAAACTTCCTTGCTTTGATTCGTACCTTTTAGACTTTCATTTAATAACAATAGAAGCCTCAGCCTATAGGATTAAACAAATCCAAAATTATATACATTGTGCAGGCCTGTAATGTATATTGTGAAAAATTAAATGCTCATTAAATAAACTTTATGGTGCATATGCTGACAGCTGGCAGTAAGCTAATTTAGTGTCATTGAAAAATGCCAGCTAAATGGATGTCTGTGACAGAAGGCAGCAGATCCATCAAAACTGGGACTGGGTGTGGGTTTGTTTTCTAATTGTAGTAATCTTGTTTATGTAAATGAAATTATAGCATACAAGCGTGGAAACTAATTTCTTGAAATTAAGTGCAGATGCCAATATTGTAAAAAACCATTGAAACGCCCGGGGCTGAATACTTACAGATGAGTAGCAAAACACTGATATTTTCAAATCACTCTTAACATGAAAGCCTCAATAGTCCCGTGGCTAGAGAATCCATAAAACTATATGCCAGGTTCTGTTACTTTTGAATATTCACAGGGTATGAAATGGTTTAGAACATCCCAAGAACTCAGTGGCGTTATGAAAAGGATGCAAATTTTTAACCAGAAAACTCAAATCTTTTGGGGGTTGCTTTATATTAAAACAAAGCTTGTTTGCATGATATGCCTCAGTGTAAGCTGAGCAGTCTATGCTACAAGGGCAGCTCCAACTGTAAGTGCAGTAGAATAGTTCACACCTCTCTGTCTGATTGAGAATCTAGCTGACAAGTTAAATCACATTTTCGAAGAGCTGCATGGAGCGCATTATGTTTTCATCCTGTAAGGGAGAAATAGAGCGGGATTAAACTCAGCGTATCTGCATCATTGTTCACTGAAGTCTTTGATTCTCTGCAAGTGATTGACAATATAGACCTTTTGCATTAAAAGCTTTTACATCCTGCAGGAAGAATTTGTCATTGGGTTTATCTGTTTTCCTCCTTTAAGAATCGTCCTGGCTGTTGCCCACCAGACTCCTGACTGCAGATAGCTTGTATTTCTGTACTTCCAAATAATGCTTTTTGTAAGACAGTCCATTTAATTCACTTGGAGGAAAAAGCACCTGTTGCAAATAAACAGGCCCCAATAAAGAAAAAATCAAATACTAAATATTTGCAAATGTAAATCTCATTCTATCCATTCCCCACAGAGACAATGGAGAACTCATTTAGTTTTTTATAAGGCTTTGAACATCATCTATTCTTATTTGCTGTTCATAGAGGGTTCTTGCGCCAGAAGGCCAGAATGGAAATGAAAGAGGCACTGAGGGTAAGACAGTGAGCTGCTGGCATTCCTGTAGCTTCCAGGCCCTATTACAGTGGGTCGGTGAAGAAGGAACAGGGTTTGTATGCAAGCCACCCTCATAAGAGTTGGGGGTCGGGTCACAGGTGCTCAGGAATTACACCTTTTGTTGTGGTTCTGTTAAGGCTAAATCTGATCTTCAGAAAGCCTAGAAAGGAAAGGTCTCCCCGTGGCTATGTTCAGGCTAACATTTTCCCTATAAACTTAAGGGATAGACTTTGGGCATTTGAGGGGCAAATGGACACTATGCGAATGGTTCTCTGAGTTGCCTAGCGTAACAGTAACTGGTCGCCAACTCTGGTGGACTCCCTCTGTTTGAAGCCAAGTAACATCTCCACTAAGCTGACTGAAAATTCACCACGTGAATTTTCTCAAAGATCACCGCACACGTTTAGGCAGTGATAGTTCTCTTAGAAATCAGGTGTTCAGTTTGGCCAGTGACCCAATTGGTATTCTAAGTCTGGGAAACTGTGACGATATACATGTTATATACTAAGAGCAATTCAAATCATACTTTATCCTTGGCAAATTCTCTCTAAAGAATTTGGGGAACAAAACTACATGCACAACGTTTTTATATCTAGAACTTCCACCTAGCCCCCCCCCCCCCCCCCAGGGGAGGCGCTCTGTAATACTGACCAATTGAACAGACAGAGCTTACCTCAGCTGTGCTGCATTAAGAAGCTTAGCCGCATAAATGTTAGAATTTGCTCGGCTCATGGTAGGTAGCTAGAAGCAAAAGGGTTAGTTCTTTGCTTCATTACTTACTTTTTGGCAACTTTCAATGAATTCATCTATGGTAACGACTCCATCTTTATTTTTGTCCATTTTCTGTCAAGGAAGTAAAGAAGCAAACACTTTTCAGACTAAACACCCAAACCGAATAAGCTCAAGTGGCTGGAACAAAGCCAGCTGCTTGTCTTTGGGGAAGAGCGGCTTCAGAGCACACAGTAGGAGCTCCTTAGCCAGCAGAATCACACGGCTGTTTTTAGGCCGTTAACTTTTTCAACAGACAGTAAAGATTTGTTGGAGGAATTCACCACACTAGGTAAAATCTTGTCTTCTCGGGGACAGCTGATGCAATTTGCTGGAACGTTCAGAGCTTTGATTTTTCTCATCAAGAAACGGGGCTGATGGGGGTTTATAAACTGAGGCCTTGTGAAAATTGAGGACTCCACGTGAAACATGGGAATTTCTTAGTGTTCTAGCGAGGACGTAATGAGTTTCCCATATTACAATAAATTCAAAACCAATTATGAAGCTGGTGAAATGCTATTGTTTCGGCCCTGTCCATATCCCCCACCCCCTTGTTTGTTCGGGTTAATGACACTTGCAAGCGTCGGAAAATTTACTGTTAGTTTCTCTTCCTCTGACTTCTACTTGCATTCCTACCTGGAAAAATGTTTCGACGTGTTGTCTGGGCGCATCTTCTTTGAGGACAGGATACGTGCATTTACCCATCATGTCGTATATCGCTTTCATTATGTCAAGCATTTCCTAAAAAGTAAAAGATATTCAAGTCTGGCTGCAAAACTGTATGATAATTCACTCTGACAGCTTATTCTTACTCTGTTTCAAATATTTGACCTTTCTTTGATTCTTCATTACATGTCTTTGGTTGTCCCCGAGAAGCCATCAGCTTTAACAGTCCTTAAAAGTGGCAGAATCAGAACATAAGAATTCTGATCTTTGTCTCAAGATGACGTAAATTCCCACAAATATAACGGAATCAAGAAAGGAAATAACTCTGGTTCGGTGGTTGTGTTGCCACAGACTTCACATAAACTATATTTTGTATTGATTTATTATATAGCTTATCTGATTGTCACTTTCCATTAAGAATACAATCAAGTCCACGTCACCAGGACTGCACTATGACCTAACTGACAAGAATTTGTATTCTTATATTTTTCCCTGCTTGGCTTTAAAGAAGTCATACTGGTAAATTAGTCAACATATGACTGGTAAATGCCTGAAAATTTCATTTTTTTTTTTTTTTTTTAGATTAAGATCTAGTTTTTGACTTGTCATTTTCAATCTTAATAAAACTATAATTACTTAGACATTCAGACTTATCTCACACTTGTTGCCTCCCTGTTAAAAGTTTCAACATAAAACCTCTGGATTAAGTTGGTAATATAACTAATACATCTGCATTTGAGAATATCCATTCTATTGTAAAGATAATGTGTAGTTTGTAGAGCATGGGTGAGACCTTTTGAGATGTCTTGAGTGCAGGTAAGTTATCAAGATGTTTGCAGCATAGAACACGCAGTTTGTCAGGTATAATAAACATAGGCGGGGATAGAAAGAGATTGCAGGGGCCACAAGATACCTCAGGTTCTGGAGGCGACTGAGAACAGAGTATTTATTGTATACCAAGTAGACAGGACAAACTAGCTGCCCAAGATATGCTCGGTATACTGTGTGTCTCTATTTACTTTGGCGATTCACTGAAAACTGTTCCCTCTCATTCCAGATTTTTTACTAGAATACACTGACCACCACATAAAATAGTGTAGATTTCCTATTACTATTTTCAAAATAGCAATTGCAATTTCATTTTGAAGTTAAAAAATAAAAATGGTCCCCAAAGACCAGCTGAGCAGCATGGGTGAGGGCATTTCTTACCTCTTTAGTGATGTAGCCGTCTTTATTTATGTCATACAAATTAAATGCCCAGTTGAGTTTTTCTTGTACCGTTCCCCGGAGCAAAATGGAAAGACCCTTGATAAAATCCTAAGGAGAAATTAAAAGAAAAAATTGATACTTTATTTCTAAGACAGTAAATCACAAACTCTGAAAAAAAAAAAATTCTGTCATCTAATGGATGCAAAGCTTATCATCCTCTGGATTTTAAATCATTTAGTGATGTGACAAATGTGTTCTTGGTCATTTGTTTCTCTGAATTCATCGTGTGCATAAACCATTCTGCAGCTTTAACATGTAAAGCAATGTGTTGTTGAGATGACGTGGGCTTAGAACATTACTGACCCAAAAGAAAGCCTCTCTCTAAAGATTCTGATGGACACAGAGTCCACCTGACCTGCAGCTGCCGAAAGCCATGGCTCCTATGTAAGCTCCCTTGCCTAGTAAACCTGCCATCTGCTAGCCTGGGTGGGCAGCCCCTTTGTCTGGTCTTTCCTTGCCTGGTGTGTACAGGGACCAGTGACAGATCTCACCCAGGAAACCCGCAAGATTGCGAGTCAGCCTTTGGTGAGCTGGGCCAAGGGACTGAAGAAATGAGTGTTGGCAAAGGGAGAGCCAAGGGATTGGTCATCAATTTCTGGGGCCAAGGAGGGGTGGACTCTTTTGCTAGGTGCTTGAAGAATGTCACTTGAGTACAAGGATGCCCTGAAATGCCAACTGCTTTAATGTGCTTGTTTGAGGCGCGGCACATTGCCCACAAGGCCGACAAGGGGAGGGGAGGGCATGGCGGACAGCGGACTTGTCTCCACCGTGGGCAGTTTCGCTGGTCGCCAAGCCCAACTGAAATGTATTTAAAGGTTGGAGGAGTTGAAATTAAAAAATGTCTCTAATATGTGTTAGCTTTTGAAGTAGCATGTAGAGCGGGAGAGCAAGATGAGCTGGAGACCTTAGCGCACTGTTTTGCAAGGCGAGGACACTAGGCTCCAAATAAGGTACAGGTGCTTAAGACAAAGCCTGACTGATGCAGACAGGTGGAACCCCAGAATACTGAGAGGAGGGAAGAGGGGAATGTTACGGTGATGACAGTAAAGGGACAGAAGCCCCGTGCCCTCCCTGATGCAAGGAGAGCAAAATCCGCACCACCACCAGCCAGTGGGGCGGCCCCCAGTTCAGGAAGTGTTCCTGCTGTGGGAATATGTGCCCACTGGGCTGATTGATAGTGCTGCCAAGTCCAGCAAAAAGCCAAGGAAAGTGCCCAGGCATGGTGGATATGGCTACAGGGGTTGGGGGGGGGGGTGGCGGGGGGGAGTGACGTCTCTTTTCTGAGTGGGCAGGAGTCAGAGAGAATGACCATCCCCCGCTCGGCAGTGCCTTCGTGGTGCTGGGCTCAAGGTGCTCACTTCACAGCTTGGCTTACTCTAGCCAGCAGGGAGCCTTGACCCAATGAGTTGAATCTCCCTTGGTGCATGAGGCACTGGATGTCTATAAAGAGGTGCAAAAATTCTTAGGGAATTGGAAATGAAAGAGGCTGCCTATACCACTGTCTTTGAAGACACTGATAGGGCTGTAGTCTCTTCAGCATGGAAGTCCAGGTACTGCAGTCCATGCCCAATCTCTAGCATGGGATGTGGATACCCAGCTTGAGCCAGTCATGAGACAGGGTATTTTTCAGTTGGAAGATCCACTGGTGATTTGGGCGAACTAATTCTGACAAAGTAGGGATTTGGAAAGGACTTGAGACAAAGGAGCTTGAAAGGATATTCAAGAGGTTAAAAGGGTCCAGTAATTGACCCAGAAGCAAATATGGCTTGACATTATGGCTGCCAGGACCCCACCTGAGATGATAAACTGACACCCCGGCTCTGTGTTGGTTGGTTGGTGAAAAGGCTAAATCCGAGCTGTAGCCAGACTGGCCATCCAGCCCTGACCATCAGGAATCCTGACAGCTTCAGCAGAGCCTCAGGTTACTGTCCTGTTTGGGGCAGGTGCTTCCCATACCCAGCTAATAGGTGCAAGCCAGGTGAGGGTCATTGGAGGTAATTCCAATCCTGAGAAAACTTCCCCCAGAAATAAACACAGTGTGGCGACTGATACTACAGCTCCAGGACATGGTAACCCTGTGAGTTTTCCTGGCTTCCGTGGCATCATCAGTGGTTCAAGAGAAAACAAATGATAAAGTTCCTTTGACACTGCAAAGTAGGTGTTTTCCACCGTGAGAATACGGGGTTGTCTCTCCAACACCAGAGAACACGTTGGGTATTGATAACCCTACAAGGTCAGACTCTGCAAACCTGACTCGTTGATTCTGCCTCCAGGTTAGAGTCACCACACCAGCTGGGAACCAGTACATATGCACTCTGCAGAATAGTGACTGTCAAGCAATACAGATTTCCTGGAGGCCTCAGAAACTACCCAAGAGCAGCACCGAATGGGTATTGCACACCTGGCCTATAAAGGTTTGAGTAGGTTGGTGCGGCCAGCGGCTCCCATGGATGACCATGAACCACCAATAATTGGACAAAGTAGTGTCCCCCCCGCCCCCATCTATGTGGCTGTCTCCAGCATTGCTCCCTTGGCCACAGTCTAGGAGTGCACCGCGCTGCCCTGGTTCTAGCAAATGCCTTTAACAGCACACACCTGGCTGCTGAGTCTCGAGATTAAACTGCACCTGGGAGAGGCAACGATGGCCCACACAACTGGAAGCCTGGCTGCACGCATGCCCCGCCATATGCCACAGGATGGCACCTCGGGACCTGTCCCCACTTTAGTAAAATAGACCCTGTGTGCCATTGATGATGGACCCTGTGTGCCATTGATGATGTACGTTTAGCATGAGAAGATTTGCTTCTCTACAGGACATCCTGCAGGCTGTGCTGGGGCATCTGTGGGGGATAGAACAGGTGATGAGCTCATGGAAAACCACTGTGCAGTTTCAGGGAATTGTTTGGTTGGCGGAGACTTTATCCCAGAGGTGGGAATTAACAAGGCACAAGCCTATCCAACACCTAAGTGGCTGAAAAACAAGTGCAAGCGTTTTTGGGGATTTGAGATAACTTTTATCCCCCGCCTGACACCGCACCTCTGGCCCTTACACGTACACCGCCTGGTAAACAAAAGGCACACAGGAGGCGAACACCAGGCTGCCTGTAAGAAGCAAAAATCAGGCCTCCCCTGGTGGCGCAGCGGTTAAGTGCTGGGCTGCGAGGCTGCCCGCAGCCTCTGCAGCCCCGGTTCGTTCCCTGGCCGCTGGTGAGGGTCCCCCCACCCAAAAACAAAAAAAGCAAAAATCCTAGTGAAGCAGATTAAAGATCAGGGCATTTCCCAAGCCCTTCTACCATTTGAACTGGATGAGTGTGTGGTTCCAGAAGTAGAGCTTTGACACTGAAATGAAACAGCAGGAGAGAGCACACCCCCTAAGGCTTTGGTCTCATCTTGGGGCGACACCTGATCTGTTCCACAGAACATCCCCTAGATCTCACACAGCTCCTCCAGGCAGGGCTTTCATAGAGGAACAGCACAGTGAGACCTCTCCCATCCGCCCGCCTCTGCCATAGCTCGAACCCCCACTCTGTGGAGCAGCCTATTTGCACAGAGGGGCACCCTGTGTGCCAGCCCACTTCTGCACAGTGTGTACATCCTCCAGAGGCCTCGGGCCCCATTCCTGTCGTGGCTCCCGGGAGCCACAGAGAAGGGACGGGGAGAATTCCCCCTGATCCCCAGTGCGCAGATGGCCTGCCCGGGATAGCGCATCCCCAAGGACTGCAGTCACTGTGCAGCTCAACACCGGCACCGCCTGGATGGAAAGGGGACAAACCGCTGAGTCAGGGCTGGATTGAACTCAAGTGGTTGGGCCGATGCGCACTCGGGAGCCCTGGCTGTTAGCTCTTTACACTGGCAGTTCCACTCTTAAGGAATTTGAACAATAATGGAGGCTTGGGGGTAAATGGTCATAAACAAGTTCTTATGGAATCAGGTTCTATGGAAAGACATTTGGGTTCTCCTGCAAGAGCCTAGGCGGCCCTCACTATCTCCACGTCCTATTTAGGCACTGATGCCCCCAAACAATCAGGTAGCTGATGCCCTAGCTCAGGAAAAATCTGTAGCAACTGACCCTTCTTTGGATACAGCAGATTGGATGCATCCACTCGCCCCTGGAGCACCCAGGCGGGATGGGATGGATTGGGAAGGATGCAGGCTTGCCCTAGAAATACAGCCACTTGGTTAAAGCAATAGCAGCATGTCTGCATGCTCTAAACAATGCCTGAGATAACTGCCAAAGTGTTACAGGGCAGGGTGAGGGGTACGCCGGAACCCCAAACCCGCATGCTCTAAATGAGTTCTGACATCTGCTGCATAAGGATAAACCATACTGGGCCCTCCCTGGTGGCAAAGGGGTTAAGACGCAACCTATGAAGCTGTCTGCAGCCACTGCAGCACTAGTTCGATCCCCAGCCAGCCAGGGAGCAACCCACATGGTGCAGCAGACCTTTCCTGTCTCGCCCGCTGCTCCCCTCAGCAGTGTATTTCAGTAGATCCACCTGTTCTGCTCCCCACTCTGTCTTTGGTGAATCCTTTCACCCCCCACCCCACCTCTGGCTTGTACCCCAGGTCTTGTATGCATAAATAAATCTTTTTTTTTAAAAAGATTTATTTATTTATACAAGCACTGGGTACAGTCAGAAGCGCGGGAGGGTGAGAGAATTCACCAGAGCCAGAGCGGGGAGCAGAGCAGGCAGAAGGACCGAAGTACACTGCTGAGGGGAGCAGCGGGCGGCAGGAGAGGTCTGCGCGCCATGTGGGACCCTCCTCTGGTGGCCGGGGAGCAGCCGGGGATCGAACCAGCGCTGCAGAGGCCGTGGGCAGCTTCGCAGCCTAGTGCTCAACCGCTGTGCCACCGGGGAGGCCCTGCATAAATAAATCTTTAAAAACATAAAAAACATACTCTACTGTGTTAGACCTTCAATAGAAAGAACACAAGACTGTTACTGGGCAAGATAACATGACACGAGTGGAACCCAGCAAGCAACAGAATATTAAAGCAGATTTACTTACTCACAGGCAAGATGGTGGATGGACTAAAGTATTACCCC